TAAATGAAATAAAAGTTGGAATATATCTAATATTATAAAAACGGCAAGCTGAATATGCGCTGAATATATAGGATTTATTATAATAGCCGCAAATAATGTAAGTATTATTATTTTTGAACAATTGTAAACCGCAGTTATTAGCTGAATTGCACTAGATCTTTTCAGCAGTGCTTACATAAGCTTCTTCTAAAACAAATTTTTATTTGAAGGTTTGTATTAAAATTTCTACCACATAATCATTTTAATACATCAACTAATGTAAGCGTTGTAAATAATATTGAGCTGAATAAAAGCCGCAAACAATAAATAAAATTCTGCGTCGGTTTATTCCTGCGCCGAATTCGTTATAAAATGTTTTACACACAAAAAGTTGGGCAGAATATATAATATTATTAAGGCTGCTGCTTTACATTATCGTTCGTTAAAAACATTTAAAGTTGCGCTGAATAAGCGATGGAGTTTAAATGGTGTATTTTCTTTTTTATTTTGCAAATTCTGCTGCAATTTACTTGTAATTTTAATGCTGCACAACACTCGACCCAAATCTGCGAAACTCTTAAAACATATATGTACAAGCATACCAAGTAAAGGTTTCAAATTGCCCCCAATTTGGGTCCACGAAATGAATTACCCGCTAATAAGCAATTACACAAGCAATCTTATCTAATTTTTTTCATTTTAATGTCTTTTTTGAACCCACATCAAATCCCACTGCGCATGCTTACAAGAATTTTAAAATTTTCACCAAACACGCGCTTGGCAGTTTTTTTTTTATTAAATTTCGAAATTCAAAATCTACCAACGCCCCAGCGACAGCGTTGACATTTTAATGATGCGCTCGAATGAAATTGAAAGTTCAGTTGCGAGCGACGCCAAATTTTGCATACGCAATTGCGCGATTGTCAGTGATGTGTCAGCTGCCAAATTGGCAAGCATCACCGAAACCCTCACACACACACACACACAAAACATACATGAGAGTGATTGGGATAAACAAAGCAGCGAAATTTATTTACGCGTATGTGACACTTAAAAAGTTGGAAATTTTCAAAACTTAACCATCATTATATACACAAATGAATACTTATCAATCAAGTAATTTTCCAAGGCAGTGGTTTGCGTATTTTTCAACAAATTTTAAAGTCAGCAACCTTCGTGGTGTTAATGTTTTTCCTCTTGGCTGTGCGTGGTGTTGGTGATAACTTTCTGGCCTTGCAAGTAATTTGTGTTGATTGCCGTTGCTGCCAAGGCATGTGCACTAGAAGACTGTACGTGCGAAAAGTGAAACAGATGTTCATGTGGCATATATGACTTAATAGAAGTTATTTAGGGGTTAAGAAATGTAAAAGTGTGCGCTGAATTATATGCAATGCAGCGTCAATTCAGCACTCATATTTCATTATTTTAACTTATATAGCGTTATTAGTTACTTATATAACTCACAGATATGAGCTGAATTGTATGCAGCGATGATTCAGCACACATATTACAGTAATTTTATTTTAGTTAGCATTAACAACCACGTATAGCACTCACTGATATGTGCTGAATTGCATGTAGCGGTGATTCAGCCAACGTATTGCACCAATTTTAATTTAGTTAGCGATAGCTATCTCATATATAATTTGCAAATTTCAGCTCAATTCAGCACGCTTATAAATTGATTTTCTCTTTTAAACAGCTTTATTCAGCTCAATTGAGCACGCTTTACAACTTACTTTTTAATGCAATGGTTTCAAAATATAGTTTCATATTAATATTTTTCTAAAAACTATGCATATACACAAAATATTTAAAATAAATAGAAATGAAAGAAATTCACAGAAATGAAAGAAATCTTCATTTTATGGGAACTTTGCAAAATGTTGGATTTTACTGCATACTTTTATAGAGGCTGTATTTTTTCTGGTTCTTCTTTGTATTCAGCGCAATTCAGCTAAGTAGTAATGAATTCAGCGCAATTCAGCGCGCTTTACAAACTCGTTGTTTGATTTAACTGTGCAAAATCATGCGCTTCAAGCACAAACTATAATATTTGAGCAATTGAGAATTTATTAATTATATTTTATTGTTACCAGTTTTGTACTTCCTCTTTTGCAACTTTTATATTTAGCATTATGTACTTAGGTATTTATATATAGTATATATCACTATATATACATAAGTATAGTTTTTAAAGTCTTGCCGACTAATCGACCATCACATTGTAGCATATACGTTTGTATGTACATATGTGCATCAATTTAATATGTGCTACTAAACATTTCCTTGCGTCTTTCGCTGCCAAGCGTTTCACTGTCATTGGCACCAGCCGCAAAAACATTTGTTCAGCATTTTATTCATGGTTTGCTTAGCGTATATATAGCATAATTACTAAAGCAATAACATCTGGCGTACGCGGCAAATACACCACAGACTGTAAAGGAAGTTTTTCGACCAAAAAAATATTACGGCAATTTGTTGCAAATATCATTACGATTTGGCGAAAATTGTGATTTTGTGGAAAAGTTACATAATCTGCGAAATTCACGAATATATCATGCAACAAAGCGTAAAAGAAATTGTGGTATCTTTTCACTTAAAGTAGGTCTGTACATGGATTATGTGAAGTCTGATTTTCAAATTTTAGTTAAAGAGTTTAAAAGCTCTACAAATAGCATTACATTAGAAGTGGGCGTGGCAAATTTAGACCAAAAGCAGACATGACTCAAAATTCGGTCGTCTTTAGTACGAAGATCTAAAAATAAAGTTTTAACTCTTGATCTCGACGACACTAGCTACAACTTCCTAGCAGTGATAGAGGATAAAAACTTTTGACGCAATCCGCATTGATAATTTTTAACACTGTGTCAATCATTCTCTCTTTTCAAATCTCATTAGCTCAGACATCGCCTTTCAGCCTATCTTATAAGAACATATAAAGATTTCACAGTAAGGTTGACTGAAACCGCGTTGAAAAGTACAGCGCAAACATGCTGAGATGAAAGATAACAGAGATTTTGTGATGATAATGAATAAGTGAAGCATACTTCGTTAAGCAAGAAGTCTACTTCGAGAGGGTCTGAAATAATCTCTAAGAAATTAAACTCTTGTCTAATAGATTAACAAGGACTGTGGTCTGTACAGAAAATTTCTGCAAAGCCGCAGCACTCAAACGTTAACTGCTACAACGAATAATTATTATGAAGTGATGTGATGAGATTCATGCCGGAACAAAAATATTAATCTACACGTGCAAAAGTTTCGGACGAACTGCGGACAGATTCAGAAATCAAGTGTAATAACCCAAATCTCACTTGACGAAATACTGTTGATTCAACAGTCATCATAACTCTTGTTCACGAATTGCACAACTATATCCAGATCTTCCACACTTGACGTAGCCTTAAAACGCAAAGATATTATAGGAAAGTCAACCACAAACTACAAAAAGATGTTGGCAGACGAGAAGGGAATTCAAGAAAGAAAAGTGATTTAACGACAGAAATCCGATCTCCAAAATGCTTAATTGATAACGCCAACGCACTAGCAATTCACGAGAAAATACGATGGCGCTACTAGAATTAAATCCATATGATTTTTAGTTACACCTAACATTCAAACGGCGCTTTATAAATTTGACAGCTGACGCATCATTAGTTCGTGAGTTAAGTATATCATTTTGAAAAAAAAACAACTTTTGCTATTGTACGAAAATATATAAAAAGGAACTTCATGAATATGTGGGTATGAGGCAGCTCTGCGCCAAGTGGGAGCCGCGCGAGCTCACTTTTAACCAAGAACTACTCAGAGCAGTTTTTGGAGTTGTTCAAACGCAATAAAACTAAGTTTTTTGCGTCGATATGTGGCAATGGATGACGCATGGTTCCACAATTTCACTCCGATGTCGAATCGAAAGTCAGCCGAGTAGGCAGCACAGGATGAACTCGCACCAAAGCGTGGAAAACTGCATAGTCGGCTGGCAAGGTTGACTACCTTGATAAAGGAAGGACCATCAACAGCGACTATTACATCCTTGGAATGTTTCAAGGACGAAAACGCATTTAAAGAAAATTAAAGTGATTAAGACAGCAAAAACAGCTTCCGCATCCACCTTATACACCAGATCTAACCCCCCGGGACTATTACCTGTTCTCAGATATCAATAGGATGCCCGCCGAGAAGAAAGGGTTTTCTTCTTACTTGCTCTAATTAATAAAACGATGCACTCGCTAACAAATTAATAGCAATAAAAGTGTTAAATGAATGACGTCATGTATAGCTGACCACTTCCGCCGTCTGTCATGTACAGTTCCACACACAACTAAACAGTGTAAAGACAGTGTGAAGACAGTGTGAAGACAGTGCAGAGACGACCTTACTGCGCGCTGCTGCCTTGCATCATTTCACTATACCGGCACTCAATTGCTTTCGAAAGTGAATGTCGGCATTGTGGCATACAATTTTAAAGGAGAATAACAAAACGAAATTCAAAAACAAAAAAATCATAATACGCAAAGCATAACAAAACAAAACAAGTGGATAACAAAGACACCAAAAAATTAAATAATACTCAAAACAAAAAAATAAATTAAAAAAAATATACGCGAGTAAAATTGAAAACATAAAAACAACAACTCAAGTAAGGCATAAGCCAAAGCAGCGATAATAAAGTGACTTCAACGTAACAAATGCCAGCTTTACGTTGGCAGCTACAAATTAACATTTCAAAAAAATGAAAAAAGGGAAAAATAAAAACCAAATGAAAATTCAAAAAATTGCTTTTAATGGCAGTAGTTAAGCGTTTTTATAAGACACACTGTGATCACTTTTATAGACCATTTGGAGTACCTACAGCAAAATCAGCAAATTGCCGCTTGTACTTATGGTAGATAAGTTGATTAAAAACTTGTTTGGTGCAGTCAAGCGAGCGCCGTTTCCATGACTGTTAGCGCATAACGTTATACGTTAGTCCTTACTGACTTATTTTGCACATTCAGCGGTGCGATTTTAAAAGCTTGAACTGTTTGCTGCACATTTAGAAGTAAAAGATTGCTTTAAAAGCCGATAACCAGGCGCTAAGACAAATTCAGCACAATCCGCGCGAAATTGTAAGTACTCACAACATATTCAGTACACGAAGGGTTACATTACTAGCAATTTTAGCTTATTCAGCGCCCATATTTTGTTAAAATTTCTCTTCATCATTGAAATTTATTATTTTTCATAAGTGAAAGTAATGTAAAAACCAAAAATTATTACTTACAGCATACTTTTAATTAAAAAGGTATTATTAAAAGCCCGTAATTAAACTTTAACACAAATTCAGCGCATTCAGCGCAAAGTTTTTAGTACATAAAATATGTTCACTACACAAACGGTTACCTTACCAGCAATAGTAACTTATTCAGCGCCTATATGTTGTTAAAGTTCGTTTTCATCATTGAAATTTATTATTTTTCATAAGTGAAAAACGTATTATTAAAAACCAATAACCAGGCGCTAAGACAAATTCAGCACATTACGCGCGAAATTGTAAGTACCCACAACAAATTCAGTACACGAATGCTTACATTACCAGCAATTGTAGCTTATTCAGCGCCTATATTTTCTTAAAATTCTTCTTCATTGCAATTTGCGCTCAATATTTTCAGCATTTAAGTTAACACAAATACAATTCGAGCTATATTTTGCATATTCAGCGCACTTGTTTTGTGTAATTTTGCATAAAGCATATTTTTTCACAAGTACAATTTAACTTCCATAACTCTACATAGCACGAACTTTTGAATTGGTAATGGAATCCAAATTTTTTCCATAACTCGAAGTTTTTTCTGCATTATGCTGCTTATTCAGCGCTTACTTTTAGCTCAAATATGTGATTTACGTATTTAATGTTTTCTAAGATTTACGATAAATTCAGCGCCGTAAACGCTAACTCAACACATTCTCTACATAGGCAGCCAAACAAAGTCCTTTATAGAAAACCTTCTTCTTTTAGCTATCAAAAAATTACAAATTTGAAATGTAACGGCGTACATTAAAAACTTCTTGCTTGGCTGTGTGCTTTAAGCTTTCTGTGAACGTCTACTTTTAGGCGATTTTTTAATTTACCCAACGGTACTCGCAAACTCACTCAGTTGTTTATCAATGTGGAATGGACATAACACACTTTCAAGCTAATGTACACTTGCGTGCAAAATTAAACAGTTGGGTAAACGGTTGTGAAAGCAAAAGTCGTCGCCATTGAACCAGTTAGACGACTTCAAACAAAACAGTTATTAAATAGTAATGCAACAAACAGCACGCTTATGATTAGTAAACTGTCACAATACAATGCGGCGATGGATTGACTAAGCGAGTTAACTGTATATGCCGCACGTCAAACCATTAGCCGGCACAGCCAATCGGCGTAGCATTGCATGACGAACGTTGAACTCAAGTTATCTACGAAAATTAAGCAGTCACCGATCGGGAAGCAGATCACTTCATATGTATATATGCATGTATGTATGTATGTATAGTAGATAATAGCTTGCACAGAAAAATGTTGATTTTGATTTAACAAAATTTGGCTAACAAAACATTGACTGACGCACCGGACTGCATTAATGAAAAGAGATAGCTATATCGTATACTCTATGTACGAAATCAAAGTTTTCGAACTGAAGCCATTTTAAAGAAGGCCTGTCCAGCAAGCATGTTTTGGTAAACAAAACGTATTTTTCACATTCGTCACGTCTTTCGAATTTTAATTTTATTTTACATTTAATTTACATTTTTAAAGATTCTACTAAATTTCTTCTAAAAAATTATTTAAATTTA